CTGGGCATGTTCAGCCTTGAGAAGAGAAGACTGAGGTAAGACATGGTATCACTCTATAATTACATCAAAGGCTGTCACAAAGAGGAAAGGCAAGATCTCTTCTTGCTGATACCAGAGTGTAGGGCACAAAATAATCAATTCAAGCTGCCTCAACCCAGATTCAGGCTAGTTATCAGGAAAAGGTTCCTCATTGTCAGAGCAATATGACAATGAAGCCAGCTGCCTAGAGAGGTGGTAGGCTCTCCCAGAAACTAGACAGCCATCTGAGTGGGATGGTGTGACTTGGTGTCCTGCAACAGCAGGGGGTTGGATTCGATGGACTTCATGGCCCCTTCCAACTCTACTATTCTATGAGGAATCTGAGTCCAGGAGGTAGCAAAAAACTTGTTAAAAGACAAAATGGTAACAGCTTTTTGAAATAAACATAATACCACCTAATCTGGACCCAGAATATTCAAATAGCTACAAGTTTGTGGCTAATATCTCTTTCCTAAGCAAAGAGCTTGAAAATTCTAGACACTTTTAATGAAAATATTTGCTAGTTTCAGAGGCGTTTCAGTTTTGCTACAGGCTTGCTTTTGGAGGCAGAACTTTAGTGATCCTGTGGATCAGGGGTCCCCAGCCCCTGGGACATGGAATAATCAATTACCACTCCACAACCTGTTAGGAACCAGGCCACACAGGAGAAGGTGAGCAGTGGGAGAGATCCAGAGTTCAAACTTTAGAGAAAATTTAAAATCTTCAAAGTTTGAACAATGCTTCTAAGTTCAAACTGGAGGCACAGAGAAAAAAATGAGGTCACTGGATAAAGTCATCTCTCATCTCTTGCTGCATCTGTGCCCTTTCCACTTCTTCTCACTGCCTCCTCAATCCTTTTCAGTGCCTTTTAACTGTCTGTCTTCCCGATCGTTCTTGCTGCCTTCTCAATCCCTTTCTGCTTCAGTACTGCTCACTAAAAAATTTGGACAGTAAATGCAATTTTCATTTTATTATACAGTACTGTACATATTTACATATTTTATTGTTTTCAAGTGTTAATTAATAAATCTGGCATTTAATTATGTTATTTTTACCTTAAATTAAGTGCATTTACTATTTAAGTTTATTGAAATGGGTATTGTTCGGGATCTATGAATGGATTAATTCACTTCCATTATTTCTAATGGGGAACATCGCTTCAGACTTCAAATGATTCAGAGTTCAAAACGGCCTCCTGAAATGAATTAAGTTTGAAGCATAAGGCACCACTGTGATGCATTTGAATCATCCCAAAACCATTCCTCCCACCCCACCCCCCAGTCTGTGGAAAAACTGTCTTCCACAAAACTGGTCCCTTGTGCCAAAAATGATGGGGACTGTTGCTGTGGGTTGGCTTTTACCAGGAAAGAGACTGAAGGAGTGTGACTCTGTTGATTCTCTTGGACTTCTTACTAGCTTTTGATACCAGTGATCATGTTATTCTTCTAGAAAGGTTACTTGAACTTGATTTTGGAGGCACTCAGTTCCACGGGTTTTGTTCCTACAAAATTCTAGAAGTGATGTTGGGAAATTACTGCATGATTCCCTCACATTTATGCTTTGGAACCCTGCATGGGTCAATTCTATCCACAGTGCTGTGTAATAACTACATGGAACTGCTGGCTGAAGTTATTCAAAGATATGGACTCAGGTGTCACCAATACGCATAAGATACCAGCCTTATTTTTCTTTGTCACTGAACCCAGGTGAGGCACCTTAATCTTACCTTTACATTTATGTATTGTGTTGTGCTGTACTGTATGCCTAGCAAAAATGTATATTAAGGGGGCAGAAAACTCCCTGAGCTTTCTTTACATTATCCAGAGTCAACTATTGTTTCCTTTCTTCAGACCCATCCTGCATCTGACTTCTGAGCCATTAAGTGCATTGTACCCTTTAAAACCTGTAACTGCTCCAAAGTTCAAATAGCAATTGCTTATTCTTTCTGCATGGACATCAGGTCTAAGAAAAACCCAAGGTCCACTTCTATTTGCTTCTCCTGATCTTTTCCAAGCACAGTTTCTAGTCCCACTGGCACCTATCTCAAATTTCCAGGACCAGAGTCCCATGTTTCCGGCTTCATTTTGGCTAAGATAGACATCATTGCCTTAAATAACCAGAGAAATAAGCTTTATGCCTTGGTAAAGCACTATTCAGAAAAGAGATGGATAGTCTGCTAAACTGTTAACTGGGAGTACATGACTTGAAATATGACACTACTGTGTTGTCTATGCTGGCTTCCAAGCTGCTTCTGGGCTTTATTCATAGTACTGTCTTTAATTTTTGATCCTTTTTTATCTTGGGAGCGGGTTACCTGAAGAGAGGGCTCCTACTTTGAAATACAGTCTAGAAATATTTTAAATAAATTAAATAAGATGTAATTACCCAAATCTTGAAATCATCTCCAAAGGTCCTTTTGAAGGGGCCTTTTCAGTGGTTACACCTTAGCTATGGAATGCTCTCCCCAGACAGCTCTGTTAAGATCATTTTTGTTTCCATAGACTTTCAAGAGAAATTAAATGTTTACATTCTATTTAAAGTTGCTGCTTTCTTGTTTTATGAGAGACTACTGTATTTTAATATTTCATTGATCCTGTCAACCACCCAGAGAACTTTGTGTTGGGCACCATACAAGTGCAATAAATAATTAAAATAATGTGCAAAACTTCTAAAGATCCTTTGCTAACACTTCTCAATCAGTTCACAGGGCTCTTTTCAGGAAAGGTAATCACTATATTCTAAGTGTGGTCATATCAAAGATTTGTACAAGGGGAGTAAAATCTTGGCAGTTCTATTTTCTATTCCATTTCTAATTATTTCTAATTATGCCTATGCACAGCTGTCCATTCATTCCATATGTCTCTGCAATGCCCAGAGCTATGCAGCTCAGCAGATAAGGCACAAGCCATCCTTCTTTTGCCCAAGCATATACCAGCCTGTAAAAACATGGCTTTAGTACCTTGTTCTGCACTCACTGGCTTTCCTTCTCATCTCTATATCTATTTATCATGTTGCAAGCCAAAGCTATTATTCTCTGCAAAAATTCTAACTGGCCACTACCCTGTTAAGATATTAAATTTGCCATTTCCCTGCTCATAAGCAGATACTGCTCCAGCTGTGTGGTGACTGATACGCGCCTTTCAGTCCTTCCCATTGCCACTCACCAGCTCAGCCATCTCCAAGCATTAAGACAGGTTGCAGGAGAAACCCAATGCAGCATTATAGGTGTCGCACACATGTGCTCACTTCTTCCAAGAGAGTGTTCATACATGCATGGACTCAGGTAACATTACAGTCCTCTTCTCTGCATTCCCAGTTGAGGTAAAACAGCAGTCAGCTATGGCTGTTACTTATATGCATGCCCCACACTCTCTTTCAAGCAACGAAAGCAGCAAATGACCACAGTACAGTACATGTGACCTCAACACTTATTTGTTAGGTGGCACTATGGTCAGGTTTGCACAACATAAGACGCTCCACTGTGTACAAAGTTATGTAGTATGACTTGCTTGCCACAGGATGTGTGATGTGCCTGACATTTGGCTGGGCACAGCAGAGATCCTGATACATGTCCTCTCCCACTTTCCACCACAGTCCTCCGGTTGGTACCCAAGGGTGCAGCAGGAGCAGTGAGGGGAGTTGAGCAAGGATGATAGCTGCCCAAAATGCCCAAGCAGCACTTGGGGGTACCTGGGAGAGACTCCCCATTGTTGACCCTGGCTGGAGAGAGGGGCTGCATGGACTCTGAGGGACAGTCAAAAGAATGTGTCTCATCCTGTTGCACTGATTGTGCTGGGGTCGTCATGCTGTCTTAAGCCTCCTCTTCAGGAGGGCCAGGAAAATGCTCCTTCTCCCCTCTGCACATTATATAGATCCCCCCACAGGGAGATAAATGGGACATAGGAGGCCATGTTCTCCTGGGCCTCTACCCAAGCAGAACCTGGAGAATGTGCCATTTCCTGCTCCTGTTTTCACTTGGTATAGCACCCAAAGTATTGCACCAAGTGAGGGAGGGGAGGGGGTGAGCTACATTTTTCAGAGACTTCTCAGGAGAAAGCCCAGGATAACAGGCTCATACCTGTGCCTGAAACAGCAAGCCAAGCTGGCAAGGAAGAACAGCTAGCTCCAGCAGGCCAGCTGAAGCTCCATCTTCTTCCTGACAAGCTGAACTGGCAGGCAGGGGCACAGTTGGCAGTGGCAGGGAAGAGAATTCCCTTCAGCTGGCTGGCTGACGTGGCATCCTTTTCTCCACTGGCCCAAAATGGCAAGTAGGGATGTTGGCCCAAAACAGCAGGGGGATGCCCTGAGTGGGGCTTGTGGTGGTGACAGATAGCTGAAACCCAGGCAGCTGCTGACAGCTACCCAAAGTGTCACTTGGGCACTTTGCATCCCTGTCATCAGTCACTTGGCTAGAGTGGCAAGCCTTTCTTCAGCTCTGGTCAAGCGGTTCTGCAGGACTTTCCCTGGGCATGTTATACTGTCCACGTTTGAAAAATTTGTTGGAATGGCTTCAAGTCACAAAGAAGCCACCCTATAGTGTGAGGAGGACTCTGGGTTTACACAACTCACTATTCTACTGTAGCTTTATCACACTGTGCAAATCCCATCTCTAAGTCTGCAATGCCCAGTTACTTGTAGGTGAGACAAACACTGCCTAAATAATAAACTCAGGCCCTGAAGTGATCCATCCAGTCAAATACAGTCCACAAGGCACCAGCAGTGGCCATCAGGTAAAGTTCTGGTTTTTTCTGCCTGCATGGGACCACAAAAACAGTACTGTCAGGTTAATATACAAGGCTGATGGGCTATGTTTGGCTTGCTCTAAAGCAATGGAGTTCTTAGACTGCTGTTAGAAAAACAAAGGAACAGCAGTAAAGAAAGGTTCTCACGAGAAAGTGCTTTTGCCCCAAAGGGTAGAGAAAAGTTAGGGATGGCATCTAAAGAAATGTCTCCACAAGCAAATGTAGGAATGCAGTGTGTACCTGCCAAAGCTTTGATCCGGGATCGCTCAAAGAGCCTGGCAGAACTATTATCATTGTCCAGCTCATCATCAGAGGGTTCCCAGCGAGCGTTGACCCGGCTATACTGCTGCTGAATCTCCAAATGATCAAAATCAGTGGCTGATGTCATGTTCTGGACGTTTTGCTGCTGTTCTTGTTTTAAAGGCCCCTGGAAGGAAGCAAAACAAGGCGTTATATGTTCCAGAAAAAATATGCCCTTAAGTCTCCCATTGCCACCAAAACACACATACCAAAAACCCCACAAAATTCGAGGAAGCTGCAAGTCATGACTGCCATTTATACGTTTTTCCAACTCCTGGCTCCTGCATGTTATGAAATATTGCAGCAGTCACTACCAGGATATTTGAATGAATCAGAGTTAACTGTGCCCAGTAGGTGGGGATATAACTTACAGGAAGATCGTATTTCTGATAGCACAGCCTGCCTTTGTATGGACCTTTCAAGAGGCTTCTGAGAAACAGTGTAAATACTAGTCTCAGAGATAAGATGTGTAAAAAGTGCTATCAATAAGAGGAATGAATTCCATTAGTAAAACAGGCCAAAAGACTCTTTGTTGCCAAAAGCGGAAATGCCAGTGAAGAAGATGGGAAGGGACTTGGGTAAGGGGTAATGCTGTGATCCTCTCCCTTTCTGAAAAGTCACATTTTCCCTGTGCTTATTTTTTGACAAGCCACAACATGGTTTCTGATTACCTTCAAGTTTCCAAGGGAGCAAGATAGCATCACATTCTGTGTATTCTGTTCTGCTGAAACTCTGTTCAATCTACTTTGCCACCCTTAGCAAAATTTTGTTTTTATACATACACTTTACTTTCTGTGATCTCTTACCATATGCAAGAGTAGGGTTTCTGTTTCCTTCTCCAATTAAAGTTAATTTCCCTGCTTCATCTAACTGAATGGAGACACTTCCATTCCATTCATTTGTATAAAGCCAGGGAAAAGCTGCTGCAATCAGAAAATCTTGGAGTTGTGGGAGTGGGGGTAATCATACAGGAAGTAGAGCCCCATTCAAAGCAGGTTGAACACTCTAAATCAGATAGAGCCTCTGACCAACACTTTCATCCTTTCTGATTTAACACTAAGTTTGTCCATTCCATTGCCTCTCTGAAATCAGAAGATGGAAATGAGAGGTAGACCAGATTTTCATCACATGTGAACTTCAATCCAATTTCTCTCAATGGTTCTCTCTCAATGATTTCACTGAAGATACTGAAAAGCATACTAAGCAACATCTGAAGACCAAAATTCACTGGGTAGAAAAGCAAGCTTCCATCTGCATTTTTGGGATTAATCCCCAAAATGAGCAGAACCACTGCAAAACAGTGTCCTCACACCCAAACCTAGGTGTCACAGAAAGAAACCACTGTTAATGATACTGAAAGTTGCTGAAAGGTTCAGAAGAATCAAAAGGGCTACGCTCTTTCCATCCATCTCTCACTGTAGGTAATCCACCCATGAAACCTTGATTGTGTCCATTCCTAAACCAGAGTTAAAGATCCAGAATGGAAAGGATCAAAAAAATAATTTCCATCCAGAAGTACCCCAAATTAAGATGCCACACAAAACATTCAAACATATTATCTAGAAAGGGCTGGTTCAACAATGGACCAAGTTACTAAGCTTGCACAGCACTAGGTGTTTTTTTTTTTCAGGAGGGACTGCATAATTGCCTCCTTCTGGGGTGCCAACCCCCCCCCCCAAAAAAACCCCTGACTATCTCAAAAGCATGTTCTGGCAGCTATAAGCTGCTAAAATGTTTCTGATTATATATTTGTCAATCAAACAGAAAGTTCTGGCAAAGGGATGCAATTTGATAACACCTAAATCCTGTATTCATAGCTGCTGAGGTTACACTGAGAGCAAGGCATACTGAGAAGCAAGGCATGCTGTGGATTCCAGCATCTCCACAGCCTAGCTGAGGTTGCCTTGTCTGACTGCAATCTATGCAATTGCTTCTATAGGAGAATCCCCAATAGACACACTCAAGACCCATTTTCCTCCTTCCCGATACATACAGAAAGCTCAATGGTTTATCCTGCAGCCCTGTGCTAAAACTTCTCTGTTAGGAAGGTTTTTAAAACAGCAGTACTAAAACAGCCCACAGCTAACTGCTAATGAAGGCTTGTTTCTCTCTGCCTCAGTACTATTATTCTTCAGAGTTAATTACACCTGTGTTATACCAAGGGAAAGATGAACAAAGAAGACACATTATAGCATCTGACTGTTTTCTGTGCAGTACCAACTGACACAATTCAGTCAGTTAAGAGTGCATAATTTCCACTGAAATCAAGCAATGATCTAAGCATAAAGTTAAAAGCATCACAATCTCTTGATTGAGCCCTTTCTTCACAGCACTTCCAGCTAGGCCTTTGCAGAAACAGTGACACACATTTAATTGATCAGATCTTCTTACGCGGAAAAATTGGCCCAGCAGAGCTAAACATGGAATTATGGCTATGTTTAAGCTGCTAATAAGGATTTAATGTCTCACACAATTTAGTAAGTGCTCATCTGATCAGTGATCGCTGACAACATGGCCAAGGGACTTATGAAGCCCTGCTTGGTGTAATAGGAGTTTTCCTTAAGTATCTACTAGAGAAGACACATGTTCCAAATGCATCACAGGAGCAAGTTCTCTTTAAGATTGTCTGTGAGACTGAGAGCTCCCCATTTTATCTGAATATCAACAAATGGTGAGAACATTTAAATGTGGGAGGCTCTTTGTGGAATGAACAGAATTTGTCTTTATTTTTATTACTTTTTGCTGCTCTGAGACATTGCTGTTTAAGTGGCGAGTCCTTCCAAGCACCATTCTGTTCTCTTATGTACACAATTCTTTTTTCCAATGTCCTACAGTTGCTCTTTACTGAACCTTTGGGATACATAGGCAAACAAAAAAGGACACATGTGCATGCACACGCACACACTCATCCAGTCCCTTAACCCAGGGACTTAACCCAGAGTTGTTAAAAATGCAAGTGAAATGGAGGATGAAATGGACGAAAAGATTCACAAGACAGGGATATCAGCACAGTGGCCTATATATCTAAGAGTCTGGCTTGCCGTGCTGTGCAACAAAGTGTTCATACATTGATAAGGACTCTCATACTTGGTGATCAGATGCAGGCAGGGAGTTGATAAGAGTTTTTCTCAGTAGCAGACAACCTGGAAGACCAATTACAGAAAGGGCACTGAGGCAATAAGAAGTTCCTCCATAGAGCCACCTTGGCTATGCGTTGGAGCTGGGAATGAGGGAGGGAACAAGCCACAGTAAGCATGATCATTTGTTGGGAACATGGAAATAAGTAGCTTTCAGTGAACTATCAATCCATGGTGGCATATTAGCAGGGCAGCTCAGTATATATGCAAATCCTGTATTCCTCCTTTCTGCATTTCCTGCTCCACTGCAATTTCCTTCACTGTAACTTTGTCAATTGCACCAGCATAATTTCCTTCAGCCTTCCTTGTCTCAAATGAAACAAACCAGACAGAAGGAAAGTTACTCATTTCCATCTCCTTAATTCTTCCCTAACTCTCCAGTCATCCTTGAAACCAACCAAGCTGGAAAAAGCCTTATCTATTTTAATAGATGGGGGTTTCTTTTTAATTATTATGTGCATCAGTGTTGATAGACAAATACATGTCCTTTGGGTTGAAAAAAATACCAGAGAAATCATCAAGGCTTTCTCCTAACTCTGTCCATTTCACTGAGGACCTGAGGGTTGGAGAAACATAAAGGGAAATGACAGATAGCAGATGAACATGGTCATGGAAAAGGAGGAGAAATTAAGAGATCTGTGCTTGTTATCAGTGGCTTAAAGAGGCAGTTCCATAAATGAAGGAGAGATTAAAGAATAAAAGAAACTATTCCCAAATGCATACAACTTTATAAAAAAATGCCTGGGGGTTTTTTTGGGGGGTGGGGGGGGCAAAAGCAGGGTTCAGATAAAATACATCTGCTCAAAAATGGCACAAAAGTAGAGGGGGATGAAATAAGACTGCTCCTTTAACATCCTACATTAATCTTCAATTACTCAGTTTCAAAACTTTGGTCAGTATTCAGTGAGACACTACAGCTAATGTAAATGACATTGCACTAGCAGAAACTGTCTCTGGCACAATATACTGAAATTCACATTGGTAACAAATGCTTTTGGTGTTGCACTAGAGATAGCTTCTGCTAAAGCAGTATCATTTAAATGAGTGACGCAATTGCACTTAAAATTGCTCTTCTAATACAACTTCACACCAATAGCCAGACAGAGGCTTAAAAGCAAAGTGGCAAATGTCTGGCAAATTTCACAGTCACTGTGGGCTTCCCACAATCACGCTTCACAAACATTGTAATAAATTCAAGTTGTCTTAAGCATATGCAGTCTAATACACTGATTTAATTCAACCTGTGTCTTGACTGTTTATGTCTGAGAAAGGGGGGAGAGGATCTGTAGATAGAGGTTGAGCCTCTACATCTAGTTCTATACTTTTCAGTTGCTTTATCCTTTACTGTTTGTTGTTTTGCACTGCATTGTATTTATTTCGAATTATATTGGCTTTTCCATCACACTTTAGTCTTTAACTGTTCATAATCTGCCTGAGAACACTGATTATTGAATGGGTTAGAAATGCAATAAATAAAGTAAAAAAACACACAGTTGTCTGGGCCTATTGTTCTTCATAAGAATCATTGCTCCTTCAGGTTTGATATACATGACAATACTTTTTAAAGACAGAGAATCCCTCTGAACACTCAGTCTGAGGGGAGGGTCACTTGGTTGCTGAACAATAGTTTGGGAACACTCTGTAGCTAGCTACATGTCACTTGCAAGTGCAAGAGTAACATGCAAATAGATATGGAAGAAAGGTGGGCAATGGCTGCTGAAATCACAAAGGCATTCAGATCAAATACCCAGGACTGTTTCTGGGAGGTGGTTAAAGCTCCATCAGTGACAGTGTTTAAGGATAGACTGGGCATGCACATGGTAGGCAAGTCATGAATGGAGCTGGCTGGAGCTGGGGGTCAGACTAGAGGGCCCAGGAGGACCATGCAGGATGCACTAAGCCAGCAAGGTTAGTAGCCACTAATAGCCTCCTCCTCCTCCATGAATTTGTCCAGTCACCTTTAAAGCATCCCAAACCATAGATTGTATGA